GCATATACATCAGTAACAGAGAGGTAGCAACACTAACACTCTGCTAGTAAGCTCAAACTTGTGACATGTTATCAGCAATTATTAGAGATATCTCTAATTATAATTCTTAACAACCAACACAAGCAGTAAATCAAACTAATACAACCAAAAACTAGCAATTAATCTGTCTCAACCTGAAACATGTAAGATTAAATAACTTCATCAGAGTGGTAGTATTCAACAAATGAAATGCAAAAAATCTGGTGCAAAAAAAAAAAAAAAACAACTATTGGGTACACATTTTTGGATTAGATGGTAACCAAGATTATAATAACAAGATTAGTTTCTTTCCATTTCCTAAAGGTATCTAAACAATTGCAGCCAATTTTACCCAAGATCACTTAAACTATTAGGCCAGGCTTTCATTTTTCATTTCCAACGTGGGATCATAATACACTCAACAAATGTCTCTACAAAACCTTAATGAATCAGAAAAATTTGGAAACACAAACAACACGAGACATTGAATCAACCCAGTGAAAACATTCTTACAACGTTAGCGACATGATCAAAAGCTGTGTTTTTTAACTGATCAGAAACCAGTGAGATGCATGCACACATTCATAGAGAGATCCGAAGACTCACCTTTGACCTCAGCGGCAGTGTTTTGGAAGAGAAGAGCAAGGTTATGGTTGTGTTTATATGAAACGTGAGTGTCTGTTTTTGTGTGTGGGTTTCGATGAAATCGAAGTCTTGGTTTGTTGGGGAGTTGGTGTTGGGGAGCTTTGTAAATGCCGAATGAGGCGGGGGTTGGACACAGGACTGAGCGTTGAGCTGTGTTGTTTTTGGCGCCCTTGTGAATGACACTTTTGTCCTTGTTCTTAAATGGAGCCTTTGGACTCTCTCTTTTTTTTTTTTTTTTTTTTTTTTTTGTTTTTGTCCTGGATGGGCCCCAACTATGGGTGGCACCTTTAAGCCTTAACCACAACCCAGACTAATCCCCGCTCACACCGGGTCGGCCCGTAAGGGGTAAAGTGCTGGCCAAAGTGGTGACTCCATACGAGAGCAGGGATCGAACCCCTGACCTTCTCTTAAGGAATGAGAGTGCCGAACCACTCACACCAACCACCTTGGTTAGCTTAAGATTTCTATGGGCTTAAGATTTTGGAAGTGAAAAACCAAAAACAAAACTCAGTTGTGCTCAGGCCCAAACTGAAATCCTGACGAATCGAATTAGGCATGTATAGGTCCGGATTGGTTAGCTTCCCTTGGCCGGTTTTGGTCAAAACTGAACCAGTCTAAATCGTGTATAATCTTTAGTTTTGGTTTCGGTTAGAGCAAGTCCAGCAACTAAGGCTGGACTCCGGCTGGGGGGGTTTGGGTGAAAAAGGCGTTTCCAGCAACAAAATGCAGCCCGGGCAGGAAGTGGGGCCCACCAGACTGGGCTGGCCTGAGGTGGAGTTCGGCCCGAGCGCGAGCCCGAGGGCTAGTGATGTCATCGCTGACACCAGCCTGGCGTCAGCCCTTCAGCTTTGAAATTTTTTTTACCGTTGGAGCGTGCAACGTTAAAAAAATATTCAAAGCTCGTGCTACAGTAGCCACCAACGGCTAGCTTCCATGTGTCGGCATCTTGGCTCTATGATCTGATTTTTTCCTTTAATACAACGATAGCTAATTTTTCTGCAATAAAAAATGAAAAAAATCGGAAATTTTAAAAAAAAAAATACAAAAAAAAATACTGAATTTTTTTTCTATAAATACTAACCAATACTCTTCACTTTTAACACCAAATCCTCATACATTTTCTTCTCCTTCTACTATTATTCTACTCGATATTTTTTTCACTTTCAAATTGTATTTTTCTCTATCATATTATACCTTTCTGTACCCCTCTTGATAGGCAGCAAAACATTTTTGCACATTTTTGCTTATGGGATCAGGGATGTGAAATTGATTTCACAAATGTTGTCTACCTTGGGTAGATGCCATCAGCTAGATAATACATGTTCTAGTAGACTGTATTGTTGATTTCATATGTGATATTTAGGGCTTCACATCTCAAAACATCACTGAACACCGGGGATTGACCCAGGACGTTCAAATTGTTTTGAGATCCGAAAACTCTGAAGAAAGCGTGCCAAACCCATGTATCAAAACCAACAACTGCTTCAAGAATGATACTTTTCTAGCCTTTCCTATTTCCGTAATCCTCTTGCCAAACAGTTGGACAATTTTTCCATTGCCAGTGCATGCAGTCAATGCTACCAATCATTCCAGGAAATCCACGAGACTCAGCTTTTTGTAGAAGTCGTTGCAGGTCCCTGGGCATAGGTCTGCGCAGGTAGTCCCTGGTGTACAGAGTTTCCACTGCATCATAAAATCGCACCAAACTCTCCAAAATAATGGACTTCCTCATCCGAGCAATCTCATCCACATGATCAGCAAATGACCCATACACCAACATTCGTATCACAGCTGTGAACTTTTGCTCATGAAGAAGCCCCAAATTTCCAGCACAAATTTTCTTTTAAACAAAGTATTCATCATAATTGCAAAATAAGTAAATTTAGGTTTTAGCCAAAAAAAAAAAAATTCACTTTTGGAAAAACCCAAAGCTTTTTCAAAAAAGACAGAAAAACCTCTCAACTTTCAAATCAAAGACATGCAAATGTAAAGGATTCCTTAGGAAATCCAAACATAAATAAGGGCAATTTTGTCCATTTTGGCTTCTTTTACAAAATTTCTCTCTCCTTTGTGTTTTTCCAAAGTCTCCCTTGCAAATATCATGCATGACTTTATTGAACAAATAGGTTTGCATTCTATATCTCACTCGAAAATGAACATCAAAGTACAGAGAATGTGGGATAAAATAATTTTTCAGAAGATTCTTACCCCGAGAATGTCTATGTCTGTCCACATTCGGGCCATGGCCTTCTCGTGAACCACTCTGGTTTTCTTCCTCCAGCAAAGCAACTGCTATGCCAAGTTGCTCATCCAGTTCTCTCTGCGCCTTTTTGCTTGCAGCTCATCTACGCATTCTTTCTCTAGTTTCTCGCTCTTGCCTCTCCAAAACCTCTTGCATGTCAGCCATTGAGAATAGAGAATGAAATATAAAATCTAAGAAATGGAAATGTAGAGAAGATCTGGTGTGGGAGGTATGAGCTGAGCCTTTGGTTTTATAGAAAAATTTAGGCAGATAGATATGACACTTGGTGCAATCTTAGAGGGTGAAAATCTTATCTGAAATTTATCTGAAATTTGAATTTCGAAATGTATATGAAATTTGACATTTTAAATTTATCTGAAATTTGAATTTTGAAATGTATCTGAAATTTGAAATTTATCTGAATTTTGAATTTTGAAATTTATCTAAAATTTGAAACCAAAAATCTTATCCGATATGAATAGTATTGACACGTAGGAACCAAAAAATCTTATCCGAAAATATTATCCAAATTAATTGTTTAAGTAAACAAAGTTGTGAAAAAAATATTTAAAAAATGAATAGTATTGTCATGGCAAAGGCAACCGCTGGAAACACACTTTGCTGGGGGGGTTAGAGCAACCACTATTCACGGTAATAGTAGCTGCACTAGGACTCCCATTGCCATGACAAGGGGTTAATTGCTGGAAATGCTCTTATGGAGGAAAATCAGGCTAAACTGAACGACACTCGCCTTTAATATTGGAAGGTTAATTCGAACACATGACTTTCGAGTGTAAAGGTAACAACTCTTGCTGGTTTAATTATTCGATCAATGGTATAGGGAAATTTCTATATACACCTAGCTACATGCTCAGTGCATCTAATCCTCACATAAAAAATTGCAAAATTCTAAACTTTACTCCTCATTGTATTGATTTTTTTTATTTTTTTTCAAAGGTCAACTGGGTCTAACCTAGTGAAAAAGGGCATTAATTTGTAGATCAGAAGTCTTAAGTTCAAATCCCCAAGCGATAATAGTTGTGTACGTGAATTTCTCAAAAAATAAGCAAAAAGAAGCAAAAAGAGAGGCAAAATCAACCATGGGGCTGCAACAGCCCATTATGAGATTGCCCATTATGGGTTGGCCCTTTACTTGTTTGTTTCACAGCCCACTGTGACTTGTTCTAATTAATAAACAAAAAACATTACATCACATGAACTTGTTGAGACAAAAAAACAATCAGTTTGGTGAATAGTTTTAAGAACTTCTTGTATCAGTAACACCACTGAGTGAATAATATTTTGCAATAAATACCTTTATAATATACATGCAGGAAATATGTTTGCTTCAACCTTTAAGAAGTTAGTCAACCAAAACATTATCTGGTGAATAATTTAATAAAAACTGCACTTTCATGCATAGTTTTCTATTTATCTCATATGTCACTAGATTTATAAAAAAAAAGTTTCAAGCATAATTTAATAAAGTATAAGATCATTAAATAAGGTTCTTGAATGATAATTTGTTTAATAAAGCCTTATATGAAATCTATTGTTATTATTTTCAAGATACATAAGCAGTTCCAATAACAGTTTTTGAAAAGAAAAAAACAACCATAAAAAAAAATTTGTTCCATTAACCAAAATTGAATGTAGATGTGGGATTAGCAAAGTTAGCTAGAGCGGATGTGCTCTCCACTATGCACCCGAGTTTGAGTCCCCATTCTCATAATTTAAATTAGATTAAAATATAATACCGTTTGTATAAATAAAAATAATAATAACCAAAATAAAATTATGTTAGACATACCTTAACTATGCCATGCAAAAGAGGAAAACCAGAGAAAAAAGAAAAAATGGTAAAAGAAATAAATTTTAGCTTACATCAGCAACCCAGCATATTGGCGGCAACCCAACCCACATATTTAACCCTAATTGCTAAATCCTCAATTATTTGCATCACACAAAAAACAATTATTACATCATATTATTTATTAATTATTATCCATCCAGTACAACTATTGCTGTTTTGTTATTTATGATTTATATATAAAAATAGATAGTTAATACTTAATATAATAATATCCCAGCCAGACTCTGGACTCTCCCACTCTCGTTTTCGAAGCCGCTTTAGTTTTTAGCCGCAGCAGCTGCTCTTCCTCTTCCAAAACCCTTCTTCTAGGGTTAGGGTTTGGGCTAGGGTTGGCCTCTATGTTCCTTTGTCTATCTTCTGTCTAGGGTTTTCTGTAGCAGTAAATAGAGATTCTTTTATTGTTTCTGTGCTCCTTTTTACTCGTTTGGGTTCGTTTCGGATCTCGATCTGTGTTCTAGAATGATGGATACTCGTAAAAGAGGGCGGCATGAAGCTGGCGCCTTCCATGCTAATGGCGGCTTCAAGAAGAACAAGCAAGGTTCGCTCTTCGCTTCTCCCACTCTGTTTTTTGTGAATTTGATAAATTTACATATCTGTCAGTTTTAAGCTTTTATTTGTTACTTTGTTTTCTATTTGGTTTATGCGAAGTGTCTGAAGCTTGAAAATTTGTCTTCTGTAAAATAAAAAAATTTTAAAAACCCAAGTACTGGAGTCCCTAGCATGGCAAATTTTTTTGTTCTACTTGGGTTTGTTGGATTTGGAATGTCTTTCAAATCTATGTGATATTACATGCTTCATACTTGTTCAAGTTTAAACTGTTCCGTATGTTCTGTTGATGTGAATTTGTGGCACGTGAAATTCTTTCCTGGTTTTCTTAAATCTTTGTGATCTCAGAATTTGCTTGTTTTTCCCATTGTCTGTGGTTTTATAATGTCCCAAGTTGTTGGTAGTTTATTATCAGGCAAAGTTGATTTTTGTTGTGCTTTCTTGTGCTGAACCAATCCTTCAAATGAAGTTACTTTGGTTGGTTGCTTTGTTTACGAAAGTCAAACATGCCCCATAAAATAAAAAAAAATTAGCCGTCTTCAATTTGATGGTTAATATAGCTAGATAAAAATCATGTTGTACTTGGATTATTTGGACTAGTACCATACAGGTAACTAACTTTACTAATTTTTATTATCTCTTTGGTTTTAAACTTCTTAATGGGTTTGAGATGCTCTAGAATAATTGGATTAAGGATCAGGAGAAAATGTAACTGAGAGAAAGTAATTAATGTTTTGTAACAGAATTGGAGTCCTTTTCAACTGGTGTAGGAAGCAAATCGAAGCCATGCACCAAGTTTTTCAGGTTCAAATCTTTGCCCATCTAAGTAAATATAATGAAATGCATCTTATCCCTTTTAAAGGTATTTTGAAGCTTTTATAAAATTTCAACTTACAATTGTTACAAAATAAAATCTTGTAACTGCACTAATGAACTGGGAATTCATAGTTGTTATACAGGTACGAACTTTGCTTTGGTCTAATGAAGTTGACAAATTCCATGTAATACTGCTTTATTTATGAACTACAAGGATAAGCATCCGGTAGACTAAATTGGGTGCTTATGGAGTTATAATAAAATTGAGCATAGCATGTAATTACTTTATATTGTATCCTCTAGCTCAATTAATGTTCATGCTTTATCTCAAAAGATGGGTAAGACAAACTCCACTGATAGTTTTTCCAGATTTTAGTAAATTGTTTAAGCTGTTGAAACAACCCTTCTGTTGATAAGTTGTAATTTATTCCCATGCCTTCTGTTTAAGAAATATTATTGATGTGAACAAGGGTAAGATGTAAATTAATTTGAAGATGTCTTCTCTTCTTGTCGTATAGAAAATTTTAACTTCTAATAACATTTTTCAGTTTCAATGGTATGATTTACTTGCCCGAGAAAAAAATCTGCTTTTGAATTTAGCTCCAAATCCTTACCCCCCCCAAAAAAAAAAAACCCCCCCCACCCTCTTTTTTTTTTTTTTTTGGTGCTTTACAAGTGGGGCGGGGTTGATTTGGGATCTGTATGGTCTTATAGATTCTTGTGTCTATTATTGACTGGTTTTCTTCTCAGTAATAGGTAGTGAATAACACTTTTGAATTATAAATTTGTTGAAAGTAGTATATGTTGCTTTGCAATTCTCTAAAAAAAATTATAATTGTATCAGCAGGTTTTGTTAGTCAGTGAAATAATACTCAAAGAAATTTTGTTAAAGTAAAATGAGTCCACAGATGAAATTGTTACTCCTATATATCTGATGGGTCCACGCCTGCAATTAAGTGACATTTGGACTAGAACAGTCTTTGTGATGCATAATGGTGTCATTATCATTTGGTCTAACCCTATCTTATTAACTGAAATCACTTCTTTATCTTAGAAGTATGATGGTTCAGAATTTGTGCTTGTTTGAATTTGGACCGAGTTATGTCTCAACTCAATGTAGTTGGTATTGGATTTTTGGATTTGTGATTTTGTGAAAAATGGAGGGGGTTTGTGGGGGTTGTGCGGTTCGTTTCATTTTTATCATTGGATTAGGTTTTGTCACTAAATACTGCTAAAGGAGACTAAGATAAGTTTGCAAGCTATAGTTGCTTGGTATTGTTTGGTTAAGTGTTTCCCGTCAACCAAAAATGTGTGTGAAATTTATATTTACATTTACTGGAACATAGAAAAGAACAACAATTGTTATACTGTTGGTCCTTTGGCATACGCTAGAAGGAACTGTTGTGATGTGAAACCTTATTTCTTATCTTCAAATTGAGTGACCACTTTTGGCCTGAGTATCCATATCTCTGTAGAGAATAGTTAATAATTGTATACTGTCATCTGATTAAAGAGCTTTATGATTCTGATTGCAGCACTGCTGGCTGTCCTTTTGGCGAGAGTTGCCACTTCCTGCACTATGTTCCTGGTGGTTATAATGCTGTGGCTCAGATGATGAATCTTGCGCCTGCTCCTCAAGCATCTAGGAACATTGCTCCCCCACCATCCAATTCAAATGGATCCAGTTCATCTGCAGTTAAATCGCGCTTATGCAATAAATATAATTCTGCTGAAGGCTGCAAATTCGGTGACAAATGCCATTTTGCACATGGTGAGTGGGAACTTGGCAAGCATCTTGCTCAGTCCCACGATGATCCCCGTGCCATGGGACCTGGTCCAGGTCGCATGACCAATTGGATGGAGCCTCCCCTTGCAGGCCCTGCATCTAGCTTTGGTGCCTCGTCTACTGCCAAAATCAGTGTAGATGCTTCGCTTGCAGGAGCCATTATTGGGAAGGGTGGTGTAAATTCGAAGCAGATTTGTCGCCAGACAGGTGCCAAGCTTTCAATCCGGGAGCATGAGTCAGATCCCAATCTCAGGAACATTGAACTAGAGGGGACCTTTGAACAGATTCAGCAAGCAAGTGCCATGGTGAGAGAGCTGATTGTGACTGTTTCAATGTCTGGCCCTGCAAAAACTCCTGGAGGAGGAGCTCCAGGGGCCCCGGCCCCTCCCGGAAGTAACTATAAGACAAAGCTATGCGATAATTTTACCAAAGGGACTTGCACCTTCGGAGAAAGATGTCACTTTGCACACGGGGCTGCTGAATTGCGGAAGTCTGGGATGTGAGTGCTCTATCAGTTTTTGCTTGCAACCTTGTACCATTGGGAGAGCTGTTTTGATTTGTCCATGTGCAATGCACCTTAGTGGAACTAACAAAACATGATAATTTTTGGGCATTTTGGTGCTAGTGTAGCTTGTAGGCATAAGTTTACTTTCTGAATATATGTTTTATATGCTCGTCATTTGTTTTATATGCTCGTCATTTGTTTATGTGGAAACTAGGGCAGGATTATTTGTCCAAAACTGTTGGTAATTTTGATGACACTTGCAGAACGTGGGTAGGATTTTAAGCCTTGTAATAACTTTTGTGTTTCAATTGAAGTTCATTAAGAACTGCAAACTACCTACCAAAGTAAGCCGGATTTGGTTCTTCTGTTATGATTTTCTCTGCCTTGATCTTCTTTACTTTTGTTATCCATACGCCACATCATTAAAATTTAATCTAATGGATTTATAAGTTGACACATCATCCTAAAATAAAAACTCAATTTACTCTTAATTCAAAAAGAGAAAGAAAAAAAAAAAACATAACACCCAACGGGATAATTAACGTCCAAAGTTTTTTTTTTCAATTCTTTTTGCTTCAGTGTCCTCTTCTCTTTTTCGGGTTCTACCTTGCATTCTGGCCTTTTTTTTCCCTCTTCATGTCTCTCCCCAAAAATCAATTTTATGGAGTATAATTGGCCGGATCCCATCATCACCAGACAAAAGCTTTGAGTTTGTTTGATTGGGTTATTCTTCAAGTTGTCACTGTAAGATTATTAATTCAATTCAATGATGTTATCTCATTAATTTTTTTGTTCTTGGTGGATTCTTATTCCTAATGGGCCATAATTTCCCTTTTTTTTGTCCAAGAAGAAGAGGCTCCGATCTTTCTTCTTTTGCCTCCTTATGGCCTCTTGCTCTTCCTGTAAAATCACAGCCAGTGCAAATAAGAACCCACCAAGAACCCGAAAAAAAGGAAATAAGATACAGGTCCGGTCTTGAGATTTTGAAGGCCTTGTGTGAACCTTAAATTGGAGTCTCACATAAGCTAACACAAACTTACACCATTACGTAATGTCATACAATAAATGTTTTTTTTTTCTTAAAGTGACCAAAGTACCCGCACTCCCAAGGACAAAATTGAAATTTCACAAAAGAATTAAATTGGATTAAATCGATTAAATTGTGTCAGGGATGTTACACCTTTTGAATAATCACCATGATTGTGATGATGAGTCTTTGTCATCATAGATCATATTCATATATTAAATATTTTTTAACCCCTAATTTATTTTGCATCAATATTCCAGGAACATTATTAATTCGATGCAATTATTTTGGTTGAGTTAGTTGGATGCATTATTTTTGCAAAATTGAATATCTGAGCATAATTACTGATTAATTCCTTGTGATTGAGTATTTATTATTTCAGTTTGTGGTTGTGAAATTAGCTGGGATATTGAATGTTGGTGTTGACATCGGACAAGCCTTTAACACAAGCGGGTTTTGAAGTCGCGCCCTGAATAGAAGTTGAGGCCCTGCAAACCAACACAACTAGGAACGTCTTTGTGTCAACAATTTGCTCACTCGGTATATATATAACATTTGTGAAACATATATTATACACATAAAAAAAAAAAAATCAGAGCCCCTAAAAAATCCGGGGCCCTATGCGGTGGCACCACTTGCACACCCTCAAGGCCACCCCTAATGAGATAACATAATTGAATTGAATTAGTCATCTTACAGTGACATTAAGAGGCAAAAAAAAAAAAAAAGAGAAGCCATAACGTAAGGAAGAACCCAAAAAAGAGAAGAGGACAGCAAGAATGAGAAAAAAACAACTTTGAACATTAACTATCCCGTTAATGGGGTGTTAGGGTTTTTTTTTTCATTTTTAATTAGGAATAAATTGGGTTTTTGTTTTAGGATTATGTGCCAACTTGTAAATCCATTAGATTAAATTTTAATGAGGTCAAGTATGAAGAACAAAAGTAAAGCAGATCACAGCAGAGAAAATCAAAGCAGAGGATCTGAATCCAAGTAAACTAAAGAGTGCAACAAATGCCAATCCACAAAGCTTAATTACCATTGAATCCCACTAGAGGCATGTAATGCTAGAGTTCCATCTTAATACCAAAGGAAAAGATGCCAATTGTCAAACCAAAGGGAAGCATCTTTTCCCCATAACCCGAAATAACATGATACAAGCAACCTCCATTTCCAAGCAAAAACTTGGGAATATTAATGGACCAAAAGCTTTTGCTTTTTTCTTTTTCTTAATTAGCGGGGAAGAGGGAATTCGAACTTTGAACCTCTTGCAACGTTGAAAATAGAGGTACGTGGTGCTCACTAGACCAAAAGCTAATTGATATATTGACTCTTGAATGACTTTTCATCCAAGTATCATTAAGGCTTCCAAACCCACCCACCTCTTTGTGGGAGACAAATTTCCTCCCAAGAGACCCTTAGAAGCCTAATGGTTAGAACAAATACCAGTCCATAAGAAAGAACAAATCCTTTGTTCAATGTCCAACAGCAGTTTCTTAGGAAAGAACAAACAACCTCCTTAGGAGGCTCAAGACTATGATATTGAACATCGAACATCTCATTTCTTCTTTTGAATTTTAAGAACATTTTTAGAGAGATCAATTTCACTGCAGACTTGAGACACCAATTGAAATCTCCATACTTTTGGTCTCACATTGTTCTAAATTCAGTCCTCCAGTTCTCAAATTTGATGTGTCTGGAGGAGGTTGTCCTCATGGCTTTGTTTTGTAGTTTTGTTTTTCCTTACTAAAAACAAAAACAAAAACAAAAACGAACTTGAAGATTAAATGAAGATTCCATAAAACACATGTCGATGCCCAAAATGGAATTCAATTTAGATAGATGTGGAGTGGTGGATGATGTGTGAAGACGTGGGCCTTCAACATGTGTATGTGCCTTCAGTAGGTTATTGTCTTCGGTAATCAGTGACATTTAGCGTAATTAAAGTACATAAGCATGCATAAGACAAGGTATACGTGGTTCACCCTAAACGATGGGTTACGTCAACGAAGAAGAATGTTCTCATTATGATAATATTTGTTTACATTTGTATAAGAGGATTAGACCCAAAGATAAATGGAAGAAGGCCCAAGGCCTAAGTTATAAAGCCCAAGAGTCCAAGACCCTTTTCTAAGAGCAATTCCAGGGGCCCCGGGCAAGGCGGGGCCTGGGCCTAAAAAGGGCTTCCAGCGGATAAATGCTGTCAGGGCTGTTGGTGGGCTCCACAAGCCTGGCTGGCCCTCAGGCAAAACCGATCATTACTCTAGCTTGGGTTTGCTGACGTCAGCAACTAAAAATTTAAAAAAAAAATTATAGAATTTTTTTTAAATAAATACTTAGTCATATTTTTCACTTCCCACGCCCAAACTCTATACAAATTCATCTCCTCATATCTCATGTGAATAGTGGTTGTCATGGCATGGCAATGGGTGGAAACACTACAAGCCTTTTGCAAGGGCTTCCACTATTCACGTGAATAATAATAGCCATTGCCTCCCCTTACTCTTTGCCATTGCAAATGGGTGGAAGTGCTCAAAGTGGAGTGTGGTCCTTTTTTTTTCTTTTTTTCTTTTTTTATATATTTATTTTATAAGTGAAGGGGAATCTCCACCTCTTGTAGTCTTCTAATGCGAGACTCTTCACATTACCCCTAATTGTGACTTATGACAAGATTTCTTTGGCTAAGGTGACGACCTCTCAAAGTACGATACGTGGCTGATCTTGCTTAGCTAGTTGCTCAGTTAGTCATGGTACCAACAAAACATTGAATAGATTGTTACTTCCCAGCACAAGATAAGGAACTTGGGTGAAGTCAATAATTTATCTAATTGGTAAGAATTTTGATGTTGGAGTTGAAACAACTAGTGATCTTTAGGTTTGATAGGGTCACCAACTAGTAATCTTAGAAAGGTATATAATTAAAAATCTAATATTTTTAATTAACTTTTTCTCAAAAGAGTGCAAAGCCAATTTTTAAGAGCAGCTACAATTATACTCTTTATTTTTTAATTAAAATTTAACTAAAAATACACAAAAACTATTTTAAGATCTCTTTATAAAATTTCAACTTCAATCATACTCTCTAGTTTATGGAGTCATAATTGCTATAATTCTTTTTTAATTCAATATAAATGATTCATCTCTATATTTAAAAAAAATGGCAATATTAATTAACAATTTAAAATAGGAAGCTAATTTTCTCACTCTTCTTTTGTCCACTTAAATTCTTTTGTTAGAAATTGTATGTTTTCACTCATCTTTTGTCCATTTACACTCCTTTGTATGTTATAGTAAAAAATATTAAAAAACAAAAGAGAGTGTAAATGGACAAAATGAGAGTGAGAAAATTATCACCCTTAAAATATTCATTAAATAAGGCAACATTAAATTATAGGGACTCATTAGTAGTCTATTCTCTCTTCTCAAATTTAGGAACTCCTAAAAGTTTCCTTATTTTAGGAGCTGGATAGGAAGTATGATTGGATCTGGATAGGTGCATTAATTAATTATTACTGTATTAATTTTCATTAATGTAAGAAAAAGAAAATGACAATAATAAAAGAGTGCTGCTATTTGTACCCATGTCCTATTTTTCCATCCATTATTATTCATAAAATAACCTTTAATTATTAAAATACTATAACATTAATATTTGTTTATTAATAACAATTTTAATAAAATAATTATTATAAAAATAAAAGTAAACCAAATCCAGTATGCAAAGATAGTTATGCAGCTGCTGAATAAGACTGTCGAGATTTGACCTTGCGTTGTAGATGGATGACTGTAAGCAGCAAGCTTAATTACTTTTTCTTGATTAGTGCCCAAAATTGGTAGGCTATTCTTGATCACCCCAACTGTGAATTCTTTGTGAGAAAGAATACAGAATGGATAAACTGAGACTAAAAAGAGAGAAACCTTTGGAACCTGTAGGGATGAGTCAATACCACCTCCCCCAACGTAGCCCTCTCTTCGGCGGCAACACTCTCAAGGCCAAGTGGGTCATGTCCGATGACCTTACTCTTTCATCAATACCTCTAACGTCGGTGATGATTACGATGGCGGTTGTCTCCGGTACGGAGTTGTTGGGGATTGTGACTGGAGTGTGGAAGGTGGTGGATAGTTTGGGAATGGTTGGGAAGATGGGTCGCGTTGCCCTAAGTCCTTAGAAATCATTGTACGGAGACAATTATAGAGGATAGATTTAACGGAAACAATTTAGTCTCATTATACTTTTCTTCTTAATGTTAAAGAAAATTAAAGTCGAATATCTCCCCCAGATTAAAAAATAAATAAAG